GTGAAGAGTAGGGCACAGTTGCGCTGCACAAGTTAACGAAGAAGCTTCTAGGGCACGACTTGTGCGCGAGGGTAGCGAAGGATCAGAGGTCTGTGGTCGCGAGAGCGATTGACGCTAGCCATATGAGATGTGAGAGAGACGAGGGCAGTTGGGTAAAAGTTACGCGAACGAACGCGGACCGTGTAGTCGATCCCGTGGCCGCGTTTATTAAACAAAGCCATACTTGTTTCCCATTAAGCTCTCCGAACGCATGAAACAAACGGGACGCCGGCGATGAAAACGCCGCCCGCAGTTATAAGCTGCCCAAAATGGGGCTTAAAGTTCTCCGTTTGAGTAGATTTTAAAGCTGAATACATGAAATGTAACTTTAGTAGTAGTAAATCTAGTGGAAGAGTTATAACAATGAGTGATCAAATCATTAAAAGATGTGAATTTGTTAGATATCTCGTGTCTATTGTTCAAAGTGATGGTGATATAGATGGGGATGTTTTTAGTAGAATTCAAGCTGGTTGGTTGAAGTGGAGGAATGCAGAGGACCTATTTTTGTGCTAGAGAAGTGCAGCTTAGACTTAAAGGAAAATTTTATAAGATGATGGTGAGAGCTACAATGCTTTATGACTCAAAATGTTGGCCTTTAAAAGACAAACATAAAACTAACTTAAGTGTCTTTGAGATGAGAATGCTTAGGTGGATGAGTGACTTGACACTTAGAGACGAAATAAGAAATTAATGTATCCGTGAAAGGGTCGGTGTAGCTCCAGTGACAGAAAAGATTAGAGAGAGTCATCTCAGATGGTTGTTTACACTAAACATCGACCATCTGATGATTCGGTTAGGAGAGTAGATGCTTTAGATTTGACTTATGTTAAGAAAGGTAGAGGTAGGCCTAAAAAGATTTGGGCATGTTGTATAAAAAATGATCTTAATTTATTAGAATTAAATGAAAGTATGACACTCAATAGGACATAATAGAGAAAAAGGATTCATGTAGCCGAACCCACTTAGTGGGATAAAGACTTCTTGTTGTTGTTTTTGTTGTTACTATTACAAGAATATGTTCACTTGAAATTTTTCTTGCTTTTGCATTACATTTGAAATAATCACACATTGGCATGTGATTTTCTTGATTTCCCTCTAGTTTCTTCGTTTTTTAGTGGTTTTGCTTTTAAGCTGTAGTTGTTTGTTGTTTTCATTGGATGATAATTTTTTCAATTGCACTGCTACTCGTGAAAGGCATGATGGATTGCTTTTAAGTTAATCATTATTGTTTTTTTTTTTGGCTGGTTTATCGGGTACTTGCAATTATTTTACTGAATAGTATATTGCATTTCAATTGAATTAATCTACATTACCTCGAGTTTACATTTTTGTTAGTAGATGGCCTACGTATATTCCTGATTTGAGCAGAAACAGAGCGAGCTTAGCTATATTCTTCCTAAATCTGCATATAAGTTAAAAATAACTTGTGCAGTCATAAACTATGGAAGTAGCAAATAGCAGGTATTCAGATGAAAAAGTGAATTCTGAGTTGGGCATATCACAAAAAAAGAAAAAAAAAAAGTGAGTGCTATCATCTACCTATTAAAAGAGATTTGGGATGAACTTGTCACCTACCTATTTGAAGAGGAGTTGATATCCAAATATATAAGAAACCTTTTATAATAGTCTTTGGTATTTGTCTTAAGCTTACAAATGAAGTTGTAAGTGTTGGAGCGATGCTTGAGTGAAATTTCGTGGCATGCAAATTTTTGTTAGGACATATACATTAAATATTTTTAGTTTTTTCAAAAATTCGATAGTACATCAATGTGTTCTATTGTGGTAACAGAAGGGAGATAACAGTATATGCATGCATCAGGCAATAAAATTCGTACATCTCACAATCATAATGAATCTAAATTTATAGGTTATAAATCATGTTTTTATTACTATTACATGAACAGTTAGACTAAATCGAGCAAAAAAAAAAAGGATTCAAAATGTACCATACAATCTAAATGATAGCTTTTTTAGTTTTGCATTCTAAATCTAAATTCATGACATGAATCGTTTTGTAAATGCTAGGGCGTCCCTTGGAAGTGACATGTTGTATGACCTAAATGTAGTGAGAAGTGTGCAAGGGCCGCTACGCTGGTGCCTGGGTATAGTGTCAAATAAGAAATGGTTCCCACATTACGGACGAATATGGGTAAAAAAGTTAGTCCATGAAACTAGTATTAGGATAGAGTCATGAAATACAAATACTCTCACAGATAAATTAATGGAATTAGTTGATATTATGATTCATAGAAAGATAAATATCTTTTGTATTCAATAAACTAGATGAGTTGTAGAAAAGACTAAAGAAATTGATAGCTTAGGTTTTAACTTTGATATTCAGGTAAGAGTCGTACTAGAAATGATGTAGATTTAATTATAGATAAGAGTTTGAAAGAAAATGTTATAAAAATTAATAGAATTGGAGATAGAATTATAGTCTTTAAGATTGTTGTTGATACTAAGATTTTTAATATTATAAGTGCTCATGCTCAAGTAGGTTTAAATATAGGTTTTAAAGAAAAATTTTGGAATGACCTCGAATAATTAATATTAATGATACTTCATGAAGAAAAAATTTTTATCGGAGGAGATTTGAATGGACATGTAGGTGATAGTAGATTATAGAAATATTCATGGTGACAACTGTTTTGGGGTGATTAATGAAGAAGGTAGAGTCATACTAGATTTTGCTTTAGCATATGATTTTGTTATTTCTAACACTTTATTCAAGAAAAGAAATGAGCTTATTATTACATTTAAGAATGTATCTAATAAAATACAAATTGATTCTTTTCTTATGAGAAGAAGAGATCGTCGAGAATGTAAAAATTGTAAGATCATTCTAAGTGAGAATTTAAATACTCAATATCGATTATTAGTTCTGGATTTTAAGATAAAAAGTTGTAAATTAAAGAATACTAGGAATCATTCTTATAAAATTAGATGAGGGCACCTAAAATACACAAATAAATTTTTTTTATGAGTAAACTTCAAGATTTGAGATGTTTATGAAGAAGCAAATTCTATATGAGATAAAGTAAGAACATTTAAAGAAGTGACAAAAGATATACTTGGAGAATCAAAAGGAAAAATTTTTATAAATAAAAATAGTTTGTCGTGGAATAATAATGTGCAAGAATAGATAAAATATAAGAAGTTATGTTATAAAAATTTGTTTAAATGTAAAAGCTTAGAAAAGTGATAAAAATATAAAATGCCCGTAGTGAGTTTAAGAGAACAATCCGTGACGCAAAAAATTTTGCTTTTAGTGATTTTTATAATAGATTAGATGCTAAAGATTGTGAAAAATATATGTATAAACTAGTCAAACAAATAGAAAAGAAAAGTAAAGATTTAACTCAAGTAAAATATATTAAAGATGAAAATAAAAAGAAAAAGTATTTTTCTTAGAAAAAAATATTCAACATAAGTGGGTGAAACTTTTCAATTAAGTTTGTGAAAATACGATCGATCATAGCGATCTTAATATTGTTAATAATAATAAAATGTTTCATTTTTACCATCACATTGGTAAAAAAGAAGTTGAGAGGCTTTAAAGAAAATCAAGGGTGGAGAGTATGTAAGACCCGATGAGTTCTCATTTGAAGTGTGAAAATGTTTGGAAGATTTGAGAGTTTCTTGGCTTACTAAATTCTTTAATATTATTTTAAAAACTACAAAGATGTCTGAGAGGTGGGGAAGAGTATTTTGCTCTTATTGGACATTTATGGGAGGATGTATCTTGGTGTATGTTTTTCACTAATGATGTCCTTTTTGTTGATAATGCTAGAGAGAGCACGGGAAAAACTTGAATTATGGAAGTCTATTTTGGAGTTTAAAGGTCTTCATTTGAGTAGAACTAAAACTGAATACATGGAATGTAAATTTAGTAGTAGTAGTTATAGCGACAAAGTTGTAAGTACAGGTGAAAGTACAGGTGATCATCTTATTAAAAGGTGTGCATGTTTTAGATATCACGGGTCTATTGTTCAAAGTGATGTGATATAGATGAGGATGTTATAAGTAGAATTCAAATTGGTTGGTTGAAGTGGAGGAATGCGTCGGGCCGTCGGGCCTACGGGCCTATTGTGTGATAGAAAAGGACTGCTTAGACTCAAAGTAAAATTTTATTAGACGGTGGTGAGACCTGCATTGCTCTATTACACAGAATGTTGGCCTTTAAAAAAGAAACATAAAACTAAGTTAAGTGTTATGCAGATGAGAATGCTTAGGTCGATGAGTGGCTTTATACTTAGAGACAAAGTGCGAAATGAATATATCCGTAATAGGGTTGGTGTTACTTCAGTGGCGGACAAAATTAGTGATAGTTGTCTTAGATGGTTTGGTTGCATTAAACGTTGATTATCTGATGATTTGGTTAGAAGAATAGATGTTTTAGATTCAACTTATGCTAAGAAACGCAGAGACAGATCTAGAAAGACTTGGACATTGTATAAAAAATGATCTTAATTTATTAGGATTAAATTAAAATATGACACTCAATAGGACGCAATAGAGAAAAAGAACTCATGTAGCCAACCCCATTTTGAGAGATAAAGGCTTGTTGTTGTTGTTGTTGTTGTTTGTATTCTAAACCTAAAATCAAACCAAAGCTGAACCAAAATGTTTGGTAAATTTCATTTTCTTACGGTTCTTTTTCTGTTGCCACTTTTTTTGTCCGGTTCAATTTCAAACCATGGTTGCTCTGAAACTGAATAGAACTATTCCCACTCATATTCCTTTTCTATTCTTTTAATTATTATAAGTTCTCATTAAGATATTGTATTCTTAGTCTTTCTTCTTTGTTATGCAAGTTTAGTTCACATATCACTCCTAAACTTTAATTACTCAAATATCAAGTTTTTCAAGGATAAAAGTAGAAATAATTATTGATTCTTTATTTCAAGATTTGGATTGTTGGGATTTTTTTGATGTGCTTTAAATCTTGCGAATATGTTTAGGTTCTCATAAAGAATGCTGATACCCAAGTGGGTAGGCTTGTAAAAGTTTTATGTCTTGATCATCCAGTTTTAGATGATGCAAAAAATGATTATAGAACTTCTGCAAATATATCTTCTTCACAACACCTAATGCGTGCTTTACCCTCATTTGAGTATTCTGCCAACCACAATGTACCCATTGATCTCGAAGCTGCATATGTCACTCCACTTCTAGCATTCAACCTTGGATTGCATGTTTCATCTCTCAAAGTTCTTCTTTATGAAGGTCAAGAATCTTTGAATTCTCTATTTGAGGTTGAAGCTGCGGAAGTAGTAGAGGGAAAGAGTGAATGTTGTTCTTGTTTCATGGACTAATTTACCTAGATATGCTTCACACCTAAGAATTTCTTTTGTAAAGATGCCCGAGTGTGGTATGCTTCAATCACTTAAAGGAAATTCTAAAATTGAGTCTGATGATCACCAAGATATGATTGATTCAGCTTTGAATGATTACTTCAAGGTAGATAGATATTTAACAAGAGGAGATGTTTTCTATGTTCAAATAGACTGGAATTGCAATTCAGAGATGTGTGCTGTTTGCGGCCAAAACTCCAGAAAGATTTCCAATAATTTTGTGTACTTCAAGGTAAGATATCCATTTTCCTGTTCATATTCTTCATCAAACAAATAGCTTATGGAACTTTTGTTTCTTTGAATTTTTATGCGTTGAAGCCTGCTTTTGTCTAGGTAGTAGCATTGGAACCACTAGATGAGCAAACTCTTTGTGTTAACCGCAATAAAACAGCCCTTGTTCTTGGAGGAAGTGTGGCATCTGCTATTCCGGATTTTTTCCTTGAACCTTCTATAGAGTGCATAGCTTTGCAGAGTGATACAATAAAAAACTTGGCATCAATTATTGCGCCTACCATGTGCCCCTCGTTGCTGTCATCGAAATTTAGAGTTGCCATACTCTTACACGGTCCGGCAGGTTGTTTTAGATTTGCTACATTAAAATTTTTGTCAATCTTAAGTTTACTTGCATTGCTTCTACTATGTTCATAGGGTGTGGAAAAAGAACCGTTGTTAGATATATTGCTGGCCGGTTTGGCATGCATGTTGTGGAGTACAATTGTCATGACTTTACCGCATCGTCAGGGCGAAATGCTGCTGCGGCGCTTTCTAATGCCTTTAAAACTGCTCTTAGGTATTTATTGCTAAATTATTTGATTTGCATTGTCCAATTCTTTTCTTATTCAGTTTTGCTTTCCTCTTTCTTTAGTGTAACAATTTATAATGTATGGTTTACTTTTGCTTCATGGAATTTATCTTATTATGAATTGTGCCTAAGACTTGTGCGGACTCTTGAGACGGTTAACTAATGCAGGCATTTTTTGGGTTTCAGATTTTTATATAGAGGACGTGAAAATCAATACAACAAACACCTAAAAATTCATAGGATTCAAGCGGACTGTTGTTGCAATGTAGTTATTGGCTACTTTTGCTGAAAAGTGAAAGATGATAAATTAATTCAAAAGAAAATTTTGTGGAGTTCCATTAAAAATTAATAGATAGAATTAAGGAAAACGAACGGCATGTGCATGATTGAAACTTTGTATTGTTGATGGAATTAAAGCTACGGTGAATTCAGCTAAATACAATCTTCTTTTTCATTTAATAATGCATAAAATGTAGAAGAAGGGGAATAGACGAAAAGTCAAAATATTGAAGGGAAATATGCCGCTAGAAAAGCTAGCTTCATACTCATATGAGGAGATAACTTCCTACAGGATTCTTCAAGTCTCGCACTTTGATCAATGATTGGAACTTCAGATTAATAGAAGAAAAAGAGTCTCCACATCCATATAGATTCTTATTTATGCTGTAAATTGTCTTAAATGACCCGAGGATTTCTATATTTATAAATGAATGGATGGAACAATGAATTGCTAACAAATTAGAAATTGCCAAAAAATTGCCAACAAATTCCTTATAAGCTTAGCCTTCATTTAGCTTCTTTTTACTTGATTTGGGCTAGGAAATACATATGATAAAAAGTGGAGTATGGTCACGGGGAAGCAATGTTGTAGTAAATCAGCTTAGAAATCCCAGTGACCCAAAAGGAATGATGAGTTTTACAAGATGGACCATGTTGATGCACTCATAGCACCAAGATAGTCCAAAGTGTCCCCTCACGTATTGATTGAGAAGAGATTAAAAAAATGACCTTTGCAGGGAGTTCGTGCATGCCTACATTTTGTTGTTAAAAAAATTGAAATAAAAATTATAGCAAAAATGATATAAAAAGAGGTATATATTTTCAAGTAATTTTAAAAAAGAAAATTTCATGCTTTCAGATTTATGAACATTTCATTGATTTTAATAGAAAACTATTAGTTTATCACCTTTATTAATTTTTTTTTTCATTTTTATAAAAGGTAGTAAATATTTAAAAGTTTTAGGAACAGTGAATTTGTGTGATTGCATAAGCATCTCATTATAGATTTGTATCAACAAACCCAAGGCACTAAAATATCCTCCATCTCATGTTCCTTTTTTTTCCCGACCTTTTGCTGACAAATGCTGAATGTTTAAATGACTTTTTTTTTACATCTTATCTAACTACAATATTTTGGAGGCATATCTCGTTCCATGTTTGGATTTTTTTTATTATTTTTTACTGAAACAGTTTCCTTATCAGGTATTCACCCTGCATACTTCTTCTTCGCTGCTTTCATATGTTTGGGAGCTTATCTGCTAATGACGGGTCACCATCGGATCAAGTTGCCATTACATCCGAAGTGGCATCAGTTATTCGAGATTTTACCGAACCACTGCCTGAAGAAGAAATCTCACATACGAGCCAAATGGATGTTGGTGGTTTGGTAAGACCCTTCTAGTCAAGATTCAATAATAATTTACTACTTTTCCACAGTTTTTTTTTTTTTTTTTGTTCCTCACAATTCGCTAATTTGTTATCAGTAATTGCCATTTCTTTTGTTTCAGCATTTCACTAATCATTATTTAGCGGAACCTGAAAGAGGTAGCAGACATGGAGTCTTGTTTATTGCAGTTGCTGACACCATTGAAAGTCTGCAACCTGCTATTAGGCGGTGCTTTAGCCATGAGATTAGCATGAGCGTTCTGAATGAAGCTCAGCGCTTTGAAATGCTGCTCGAAAAACTAAAAGGTGTTAATACTGCAAATGATGAGGTACTAGACATGATATTCACCCATGCTTTATCATCAAACTCCCTGCATTTTCTGTTAATAGCGAGATTTTACTTGCAGAACATCACTGAGGAATTTTTGAAATACTTAGCTGGACAAACATCTGGGTTTATGCCACGGGACATAAGTGCTTTAGTTGCTGATGCTAGCGCCAGATTTATACTTAGGATTCTAAATGGCAGTGACGTAGGAGGTGGTAGAAATTATAATGTTCAAAATATTGAAGGTTTTCCATTAGGCAAGGATGAAGGAGGCTCTGGTGCACTTGAGCATTTGGACAAAGAAGATTTCTCCAAAGCTTTAGAACGCTTTAAGACGAGAAATGCTTCTGCACTTGGTACTCCTAAGGTAAGCCAACATTATAAAGCTTGCTTATGTTTTGTCTCATGCCTCTGAACATGATTTTGCATGTATTAGTGAATGAAGTGGTTATCATGTCTTGGTTGATGCTTTTTTTCTTAAATGAATATGTGTATTAATTGTTATTTTAGGCTTTGTTAGGGATAGCTTTCTGTCTGCTGTATATTTCAGATCATCATAATTATGTTTTGGAAACAGCTAGGGTTGTCAATTTGGCTCGTTGTTCGTGAACAGCTCGTGTTCGGCTCGTGAAGCAGCTCGTGTTCGGCTCGTTCGTTAAGTCTAACGAGCTGAACACGAACAAATTTTTAAGCTTGAAATGTAAACGAGCCGAACTCGAACAACAGTTTGTTCGCTCGTGTTCGGCTCGAAATGGCTCGAAAAAAAAATTATATAATTTTTTATATAACAATATATTACATATATTATTTATATAATAAGATATTATATATATTTATGTTTAAGTTTAAATCATAACACCTCATGTGGCAATGTGGTTAGTGTCTTCTTTTGTATAGATTTGATCTAGGTTCGAATCCCACACTTTACATCTATTTTTCTCAATTTTAGTTTAACGAGCCAATTTCGAGCCGAACACGAACACGAATATTTAAATCGAGCCGAACACAAACACACTGTTCACGAGCCGATTTTGAACACAAGCTGATTTCGAACACGAGCTATTTCGAACGAGCCGAACATGAGCCAAGCCTGAGCTCGCTCAAGCTCGGCTCGTTTACAGCTCTAGAAACAGCTTTCTTGTAGCTTTTTAGAAATTTTTTTTAGTGAGAAGTATTTTGCAACCAGATCAATTAAAATATGATTGCTGTAATCAAGTTGCTACTTAAATTTTTGGAAAATATAAATATTTATGTTTCCCACGCAGCTTTTAAGAAGCTTTCACCACAACAACTTCACAACCATTTTTACAAAAACCTGTAGTCGTCCCAAGCCAACCTTTAATGCATAGAGTGAATGATGTAAATTATTTACTTTTATATTTCCTAAAGCTCACTAATATAGTTTTCTGCACAGAAACTAGTTTTGTTGTTTACATGTGAGCTTCTAACTTTACTCTGCTAGCTCAGGTGCCTAATGTAAAGTGGGAAGATGTTGGTGGTCTTGAGGAAGTGAAGAAGTCGATACTTGACACTGTTCAGGTAAGTTAATTTCTTTTTCTCCCTTTTCTCATATTTGCTATTATTCATGCTTTAAAAGCACGGTAGGTTTGCAGATGGGTTGATGCAGGTTTGTTACATGCATTACTTTCCTTTTCAATTAGTACATTCATGTTGGGAATATACATAGGTTTTTCAGGCTGATATTCATCATTTTCTTCCTTAAGGAACGACAGCTTTTACTCTGTTAAATTTTGGTATAATCAAAGTTTCTACATATTGGATTTGTAAGACATACTTAGTGATTTTGCAAAGTTTAGGAACCTTATAATTTCCTTTCAAATTCTTTAGTTATGAAAAGCTTGCCTAACCAAAAATTTTAAAACTTCTTGTTTATTATGCTTCCGAAAGAATTAGAAGGCTTCAGAGTGGATTGTAGCAGAACTCTCTTCCACAATACTTCAGATGCCAATCACTCAGTTGCTGGTCTTAATTATTGATGGATTTGTTGATGCACAATGCAGTTGCCACTTATTCATAAGGATTTATTCTCATCTGGATTACGCAAACGATCAGGCGTTCTTCTTTATGGACCGCCAGGTACAGGGAAGGTGTGTAATACTACCTTAGTGGCTAGAATGATGTAGAGATGCTGTGTTTTAGACTGCAGCTTGTTCTATAAACTTAAGCCTTGCAATAGTCCTACTAATGCTGATGAATCTTATGAGAAAAACTGATACCTGAGCTTTGTTTTCAGACATTGCTAGCAAAAGCTGTTGCAACTGAATGTTCCTTGAATTTTCTTAGTGTGAAAGGGCCAGAGTTGATTAACATGTACATAGGAGAATCAGAAAAAAATGTTCGAGACATATTCCAGAAGGTATTGTGCTATAGAATGCACAAAAAATTCTAATTTCATCATCATATATTTATATTACATGCAACATTCAATTATCTACAGGCAAGGTCAGCACGTCCTTGTGTCATTTTCTTTGATGAGCTTGATTCTCTTGCTCCTGCCAGGGGAGCATCTGGTGATTCGGGTGGTGTTATGGATAGAGTTGTTTCCCAGGTGATTATTAATTTTGTTTACTGTACATGTCATTTGATTGAAACATGCTTTAGCTTTATAAACTTTTTTTATTGATGTTTATTTGTTGGTAGATGCTTGCAGAAATTGATGGGCTTAGTGAGTCTAGTCAGGTACTTTCATCAGTTCCATAAATATACCTTTTTAAGGCAATAAATTTAAACAAAAATTCATTGTCATTTTTTATGCGTAGATGTTTTTCAAAATTTCCTACAAAGCGTTTAATTTTGGAAGATTTACATACACCACTTAATTCTTATTTATATACATATCTTACACCAAAACTTCAATTTTTACATCTATATATCCACCTTGCATATGAATGAAAAGGTGTATTTTACCTTTTAAAAGCTAAAAGTAGTGATGTTTTTGATGTGATATGAAAGATTTGGGTGGTATAAATATAGAAGGTAAAATTTAGGTGGTATGATATGTAAATACATAGGAATTGGGTGGTATGTATGTATATGCCCCTTTATTTTAAGTGCTAGCAATGGAACTTAACCTAGTTCAAAATTTCTGCTTCAGGATCTATTTATTATAGGTGCAAGCAATAGACCTGACCTTATTGATCCAGCACTTCTACGACCAGGCAGATTTGACAAGCTTCTTTATGTTGGAGTGAACTCCGATGCTTCTTATAGGGAAAGGTTTACTCTTACTGAATTTGCATTTATTCATCGTCTTTTGTTAAGACATTTGATATTAACTTATTTGTCAAAAATTTTTCATTTCTCTGCAGGGTTCTTACAGCGCTGACACGAAAATTCAAACTACATGATAGTGTATCTTTGCTTTTTATAGCTAAGAGATGTCCTCCAAATTTCACTGGTGCAGACATGTATGCTTTGTGTGCAGATGCATGGTTTCACGCAGCGAAGCGGAAAGTATGATAACTGACCTTTTAACACCTTTCACATTTGATTTTTTATATTTTTTGGTATAGAAAGATACATATATTTAATAAGGATATTTAGTGCTAATTTTTCCTTTTGTTTTACAAGTATAACTTTAATCAGATATTCCTCTTGATGGGCCTTCCAAGTGCATGTGCAGAGAATAGGGCTATTCTTGGCCGAACCTGTATTAGCAAAGAAAGGAATTTATTCTCGGGGCGTTTACATGCATACCACCCAATTCCAATCTATTTACATTTTTTACTTTTTACATTTATACCACCCAGGTCTTTTATCTCATAAAAAATACCACTATTTTGTCTTCTAAAAAGTGAAATACACCTTTCATGCATATGCATTGGTATAATTGAAGTTTAGCCGTTTAGGTGTTGGATATGTAAATACATAGGAATTGAGTGGTATGTATGCGAATCTTTCTTTATTGTTATTATACATATTTGTAAGTAAATGTTTAAATTAGTTTAAAGAAGTTATTTTGAAATGAGGATCCAGCTTTTGCAAATCGAGTAGCTGGGCCATCGTGCTAATTTACTGTAATTATTTGTTACATGCTGCCTGAATTATTTGTGAACTTGTCTGGTATCCACATAAGCTACGCTTTGTCGTCCTCTTTTTTTTTTAGGTTTCCCACAATCATCAAGAAACGTCAATTATAGATGATGCTGAATCTGTCATGGTTGAGATGGAAGATTTTATGAAGGTATGCTTCAAATTCATAATCACAGTGTGTAGAAAGATCCAATTGTTGGTAAACCGATGGTGCTCATCTTTTACTAACTTATTGGCAGGTATTGGGTGAATTATCGCCGTCATTATCAATGGCAGAACTGAAAAAATATGAACAGTTACGGGATCAGTTTGAAGGCTCTTTGAAATAGGAGGAAATCAGATGATGGGAGAAATTCTGGTTAGAATATCTCACAAATTTTAATTAGAATCAACCTCATTGTTATCAAATTCTTTTTGAGATGAGTGTAATATTTAATTAACCAATAAAATTTATATTGTATATATTTCAAAGTAAATCCTTTTGCAATAATGCTTGACCCCGAATCTTACTTTTTTTACTACAGATAAGATCAAATTTGATGATATGGTTAGGAGACTAGTTGTTTTAAATTCAACTATGTTGAGAAAGGTAGAGATAGGCCTAGAAAGATCTGGGCATATTATATAAAAATGATCTTAATTTATTATAATTAAATAAAAATATGACACTCAATAGGAAGATGTGAAGAAAAAGGATTCATGCCGACCCCACTTAAGTGGGATAAAGGCTTGTTGTTGTTGTTTTATAGATAAAATCAACTTCGTCTTTGCTTCTCTACGTGCACAATAATAGTTGTTAATGCGTGAATATGAATTATGAGGGATTTAGTTCAAATTACACTGAAATTTGTTTTTATCATCGAATCTTAATCCTTTTAATTCTCTTCATTGTATTATTGTCGTTGGCAGGTCCCAAGCCTGTATATGAAAAGTGAAGGGTTGAATTAGGTAGTTGACAACCGACATAAAATTTGTCAAAAAATCATGACATGAATTCTTTCGATCCTTGTGTAAATGGTAAGGTGCCCCCTGAAATTAATGCATTGTATGACCTGAATACAGTGTGTGGTGTCAAATAATCAAGGTTCTCATATTACAAACGAATGTAGGTAAATAAGTTAGTCCATAAAACTAATATTTGGATAAAATATTAGAATATAAGTACTCTCCCTGATAAATTAATGAAATTAGTTGATATTATGGTTCGTAGGAAGACAAATATCTTATGTATTCATGAAACTAAATGGGTTGAAGGAAATGCTAAGGAGATCGATAATTTAGGTTTTAAACTTTGGTATTTAGGTAAGAGCCACACTAGAAATGGTGTAGCTGAATTATAGATAAGAATTTGAAAAATGATGTTGTAAAAATTAATAAAATTAAAGAGGATATTTGTTGATACTAAGATTTTTAATACTCTAAGAGCTTATTTTCACGAACGAACTTCTCTCAAATCACTCGTAAGACCTTAGCGCTCTGCCTAAGCACCAAGTCAGTCTAACCCTTGCAACACTTGGACTTAAAATCCAGAAACTCTCTAGGAAAGAAGTAAGGAGAGATTATTGAGAGAAATGAATACTTCATTAATAAAGGAGTGAATATAGACTTGGTTGGAAACTTTGGTTAGAACCAAATGAGAGGGACAGACTTCTTATTTATAGTTATCCCCAAATCCTTGGGAACTTTTTCGATAGACTAACTTCCAGATAGTTCTACATTGCCCTTTACATGATTGTATAGTTTTCAAGGATACTCTGGAGTTCTCTTGAAGCTTGTCTATTTCAACATATTTCTGAAATTATGTGGAACTTTCTAGAATTCTTTAAATTATTCTTCTTCTTTCTAGTTTTTTCTAGAATCTTATTTTCCATGGCTAAAAGGATGTGGCTCATCCTTCCTTGAGATGGGTGTGTGTGACACTCTTCACCACCTAAGCTCGCAATGCCCTCATTGCACGTTCCTCCTGATATTGTTGGATCTTTTTATTTTCCACAATGTGTCTTCATGTTCCCAGTTGGCTTCATTATCAGGTAGTTCTTTCCACTTGATGATGTACTTCTTGTAGTTTGGTACCCATCTTCGATGATTGATCTGATCAGCCAGTTTTTTATCCACTTTTTTTTATCAAAGTAAATGATTATTGTTGGTGGTGCTTGCTTAGGGTTTTCTCTTGATGGGTCTTCTTTTTCATGCTCCACGTCTCCTTTTTTTAGTCGCCCACTCAGACCAGCTTCTTTTGTTCACTTTCAGACTTGGCAAATTTGAAAGTTATTGGCCTTTTTCTTTCATAACTGGTTGTATGGGAGTGAAGTGCCATACAATAAGATTTCGTGGTTGACAACTCAGTCCTTGACTCCAGCCTAATATGATGGTTTGCTTTTTTCTTGTTAGTAGCTCCTTCGGTATCTCTTTAAGTGAGATATTTTTAAACACGTCAATTACCGTTGCTACCTCCCTTAACATATCCCTTGGTTGCTATCCATAACTCTTAGTAACTGCCTTCAAAATCAAGGCATCTCTCACCAATTTAGTTGTCAATATACCCCCAGACAAAATAATATTATCGAGCACAGAAATAACAATCTCATCAAAACCACAAGAGCACTACTTTATATAGCCCACCTACCACACAAATTTTGGGCAAATGCTCTAATGACTGCAAACTATTTACTCAATCATCTACCTTGCGAAAAAACTCAAATCTATTGCCCTAATAACTCAGTCATCACAAGAAACCCACATATCACCTCCTCAATGTGCTTGGCTGCTCTTGTTACCCCTGACAACAACCAATTTTTGCAGGTAAACTTGCAAAGCAATCCACACACTACATTTTCCTTGGATACAATCCCAATCATCACAGTTACAGGTGCTACAATCCCCATAATAATAATAATAAAATATTCTTAACATGTGGTATTCAATGAAAATTCATTTCCTTATCACACTCACACCTCCCTTCACTCGATAAATCACCCTACTACATCAAATCCTTTACTCCTAACCCCCAATCCCCCATTAATTTCTATACCCTCAATCCCTGCCTCACATCCCCAACTTACTACCAACACTACCTTACCTTTACCACTCCCCTACTCAGGTCATAACGTTTCATCTCTTACTACTGAACATCTCCACCCATTCCACATCCAGTCCAACCAACTTTTCATTCAGTTATCACTATTACAACACCCCCATCCCAGTAATCCATACAAACATAACAAAAATTAGGCTTCCTAAAATAATAATAATAATAATAATTATATTTGATCTCACCACTCATCTCTCCTCGCTTGAAATTCCATCTGAACCTACCTAATTCTCTGAAGCAAACAAGCTTCCTTGGTGGCATCAAGCCATGTTTGAGGGGTTCCAAGCTCTACAATAATAAGGTATCTAACATCTTACCCCTCTACGAACCAACCAGAACACTCTAGGTTGTAAATGGACATATAAATCAAACTCTATTAGTACAGTACCATTGCAGGCTACAAAGCAAGACTAGTGGCCCAAGGATTCAAGCAACAGCAAGGTATGGACTACCATTAAACTCTTAGTTGTGGCAAAATTACCCACGGTCAGTGCTCTCCTTACAATTGCCACACACCACAATTGGCTCATACAACAACTTGACATTCCTAATGTCTTTCTTCATAGTAACTTAGATGACTGAGTTTTTATGACCCAAAAACATGCTTCATTGATCTTCTCTATCTCAATCAAATATGTCATCTTGAAAAAGCCCTATATGGTCTCAAGGAGGCCACTCAACAATGATAGTTTTCAATTAATTACACCCCCACATGATTTACAATAAGTTTAGCAGACCCCTTCCCCGCCGTCTATCACCACAAAAATGCAAAAATTACTTCTAATCTACAATGACAATATTCTCATCATTGGTACTATCAACATAAAGCTTCGACAACTCAGTACCCAGTTCCTTCTCAAACATCTGAGCAACATCTCCCAGTTTCTCGACCTTCAAATTCACACCACCACAAATGACTATATCATTATCAATCCAAATATCTCTCTACCATTCTCTAAAAATAAAAGAAATGCTCTAATGTAAAAATGTTCTAAAAAAAAAAAGGGGGTTTACAACACCTCCCCCTCTTCCCCTTCTTAGAACCACACCACTTTAGACTCATCATATGCTCCTGACAATATTTAATTAACACTAACCAGACCTGACATCACCTATTGCATTAACCATCTATAAGCCAACATATGCACAGTCCTCCACACCATCGCATTCGGCTCCTCAAACGTATTCTACACTACCTAAATGGCACTCCCCCTCACAGACATTCAATTACAAAGGGGTCTCTTACCGTACGTGGACCTCAATTGGATGACGACCTCAACAATAGGACTCCCGCCTTTGGCAACTGCTCTTTTATGGGCACAACTATTATCTCATTGACAGCGAACAAATAACCAACTGTCACACATTTCCCCACCGAAGAACAATACATGGCTATCACAAAAAAAATAAAAATAAAAATCACAAACATCCTCTACCTCCGACAACTACATTAGGAATTCAACATCCCCATCACTGAACCCATCACCATGTACTACGACAACTTCTATGTCATTGCCCAAGCTCCCATGCTCCAACAAAGCATAATTTTATCAGAGATCAGCTCAAATCTAGAGAAATCCAACTTACAGATTTATTCATTAAACTACTCTCATAGCAGATATCAGTATGTCTGAGACAAGCTTGATCATCATTTTGAGGGGGAATAACAGCAAACATTCCTCCTGCTACTTGTCCAACACAGGCTCAGGATCACAGAGGACAACACTTCATTAACCTTTATCTGCAAATCAAGCCGCACCATTACCTTAACACCAACTCAACAAATATAAGCCATCTGATGTACATTTAAAAGACCTTTATAACCTTTTGAAACATGTATAAAAAAACAACATTGTTTATTGTAAAGATATAGAGCAAAACACCATTGTATAGTCATCTCATTTTGCTGTCCTAATTTTCCTTGCTCTTCCCTAAGCTCATTAACTCTACAATAATTTCGAGGAGTCATAATAATAAAATGGAAAGTTTACATACATGCCACACAATTCACGTGTCCAGAAATCTAAAACCTAAACATTCATATATACAGTACTTATAACATGTGGGTGTATAAACCTATGTATGAAGTGTAGTATTTTATTCTTAAGAAGACAGTGATAGTGATATTTATGATCTATTGTAAAATATTCGATTGATATGCATGCAAAGAAGAATAATTAAGTGTTAGATATGTAAATAAGCATTGTGTGCAATCAGGCTCGTTTTTAGCGAACAACTCGTTTTCGGCTCGTTAAGTAACTCGTGTTTGATTCATTCTTTAAGTAAATGAGCCAAACACGAATAGAATTTTTGCACTCGATATATAGATGATCCGAACACAAATGAAGCTTTGTTCGCTTTTGTTCGACTCGTACCTATTCTTTTTGGATGCCTGGGATCTCATTTATGGGTATTGGAGTTGATAACTTTACCATGAGATGTATGGAGATGCGTCCTTTCAATTTCAGACATTTGGGAACTGTTTGGAGCGGCAGAGATGGTTTATGCAGAAGTTTTGTGGATTTCCTCATTGCTTGCAGGTTTTGGCTCTTACTTATTGTTGCGGTCTTGGCTCTTATTGTTGCGGTCTTTACTGGATCTACAAGCCGTCAGTTTGACCCTGCTCATCGACACCACTATTACTATGGGGTTTTATGCATACTGTTATTTTGGGACTTTATGTACGTGTAATTTTTTGGGTATACTTTTTCTTTTGGTGTACGTTTTGGATGATTACATGTACCTTAGGTTTGTTTCTTTGCGTTGTGTTGTACTGCGGAGAGTGGAACCCCTAGGGGTTTGTTGTATGTTTTTTGTTTTTAGATGTCCCTCCCTGACTATGTAAGGAGCGTTTGTTTCTTTGCGTTGTGTTGTACTGCGGAGAGTGGAACCCCTAGGGGTTTGTTGTATGTTTTTGTTTTTAGATGTCCCTCCCTGACTATGTAAGGAGCCACGAGCTGCTCTTTAATACTGTAAGTCCTCTCCTCTCAGGTCAATGGTTTGATCCCACCATGTTGTGGGGGCTCTGAAATTTTAGACACATGACGCAGACTCTCATTATGAGGCCAAAAAACGCATGAAAAATCGATATTTGGGCCTCTGTCAAATATCGATTTCCTTTTTAATGAAAAATATATATATATTCGTAAGATTGTTCATGTTGCAACCAATCTATCATTATTTTGTTGAAATTTCTAGTACTGGTAGATTGGTATGCAGCTCAGACACAAAATAAAATAAATATATATTAAATTCTTTTTAAATGAATATTTTAATATAAATAATATGATTTAAACAACGACAGACTAGGGTTATCAAAATAGCTCGTTGTTCTCTCGTAGCTCATGTTTGGCTCTTTAAGCAAACAAGCCGAACACCAACAATGATTTTTTTTACTGACCCGAACAGAAACCGAGCCTGGCTCACTTAAGCTCAGCTCGTTTACACCCTTACGCGCAATGTATGTAAATATCCCTAATAAATCATAATATTCTCTCAAGTCTTCATCTCCTATTCTCAAACTATCAAAATTTATTCTTCAACTTAAAAAATCTTGTTCCGTTTCGAGTAAAATAAGTTTTGACCAAATTACAAGCTACGCGGAGTTCTACATTTTATTAACATCCCTATCGAATCTATCTGCTCAGCAAATTATTGTTGCAGCCACACAAGTAGCACAAATGAATTATTCTAATTATATTAAACTCATTTCTTATCGCTCCTTGCAACAACATACCCCATACAAGCTTTGATCAAGAAGAACAGTCAAACAAAAATGCTGATTAAATATGACAGAACTTTATGTTCTGTTAAAAAATGAAGCTTTGACCAACCTGCTACATACATTACTCCCATACACAGATAGGAAGTTGAACTAACAGAGAATTATTCTCTCTAATCTTCATCTTTTCTCTCCCAAATTTCCAACCAAATAGAGAAAGAAAACTTTATAAAATCATTGTCACCCACCCAGCAACCTCCATTGCAAACCTCACTCCATCCATCCTTATGTATATAAACACCAGACGCAGTATCACCACTCTTCATCACTCGCAGCAGAGCAAAATGGCTTCCAGTACTAATCTGTTCTTCACATTCTCCATTCTCCTCTCGCTCATCTTCTACAGCACTCACTCTCCATGCCATGCCGCTCGCTCTCTGCTTGAAAACGACGACGAGCCCGACATATCTCCTTATCCAGATTTCCCAGAACTTCCCAAGCCTGAATTGCCTCCATTTCCTAAGCCTGAGTTACCCCCATTGTTTCCTGAGCTTCCTCCCTTTCCTGAGATCCCTGGTTTTCCTAAGCCTGAACTCCCTTCATTTCCGGAGATTCCACATGATTTGCCGAAGCTTGAGTTTCCACCACTGCCTGAGCTACCGCACGTATTGCCAGAAGAGCAGAAGCATCCATGAGGTTAACATGTCAGCTCAGTGCTGAGCTAATTAATGTTCCATCTTCATCGTAGTCCATCCTTCAGTTCTTAAATCTGTTTTTTCTTTTTTCTCCTCCATGTTTATCAGATTTGTTTACGTACGTATTTAATATGATGGATGCTGTTGTAAGGTTGAGCAGATGTGGAGCAGCTGCTTATGGTTATGGAGATAATTACGTATATGGTTTCATTAATTTATCCCTTTTGATTTCTTTATTTTGTAATCGCCAAATGAAATCACTATATGCATAACTTCTCAAAGTAGTGTAAAAGGATATATAGATAAGGGCAAATAAAATTATAACAAGCATAACAATTCAATAAATCATCCAATACAAGACTAATATCTGCAGAATAAATGTCTACATCATATAAATCGAACTATAAACACAAAAAAATAATAGTTATATCATTTTAAAGTGGGGTGTCCCACAAAAGTCTGGCGTTGGAAGAACCACCCAAACTTATTCCAAAATCCCATCTCTCCTTCTCTAAACTCTTGTGGTCTTCACATTTTTTACAGAAAGAAATGACATCATGAGGGTCAAAGGGTAGAGACTTATTCCATATGGAGCTCTGGCATAGCTTTACGTCCGGACTAACAATAATATGCCGTCATGTGGAGTTTATTGGGAGGTTATTGAAGTGAAATCACAGAGATTATTGGGGGATTATTGAAGTATTATTATGATGCTATTGCGGGGGGTTACGCAGGGGGCGGAGGTTATTTGTGGGTTATTGAGGTGTTATTATGATATTATTGCAGAGTGTATCCGCAAAGGTTATTGATAGTGTAGCAGCAGAGGCTATTAGGAGGTTATTGAGAGGTTATTGTGACGTTATTAGACTTAATATTTCAATAACCCCCTAATTACCCTTCCAATAACCTCCACGATTTCACTTCAATAATCTCCACTAGAGGTCGGTCTGATATAGCACACATGACGGCATAATACTGGAGTACTCACGTAGTGTTGCGTACGTGCTCCATATGTAATAATTTCTCCAAAGGGTAAGAGGTCGACATTGATGTTTGACAGCTTCCATGCATTCTGATTTCAGTGCAGAGGCCCAAAATAGGTAGGAAGATTCCATCTCCTCCCAAGAGATTAATACTAAAGCGAAGTTTTGACAATCCAGGCGACTCCATTGCCTGCACTGTTCAACAATGGGGCCAGACATCCATCATGTCAAAACCCAATACGCAATTCAATTTTGGGAATCACTGGAAGTAACAAAACAGGAAAATCTGAAATTTAATGGCCAAGGCTCTAACCCGCGAGTCCAAGGCCTGATATTAATTCACTTTCGCCATAATGTTACTGAGCTTCCATGAAAGTGAGATGAATTGTGAATTGGTGGTGTTGAAATATGCCATTTAGAAAGAGTACACAGTTGACATCAGTCATGTATTACATTTTGCACTTTTTACTTATAACAATCGATAGGATTCATTTCTTCAAGGGGCTTATATAGCTTAGCTTTGTCTCCTCTACAATTTCTTCTTCTCACCTCGGCTCCACCGCCGACCAGATGCGAGAGCTTTAGGGAGGCGTCTCCACCCTATGCTGCCACAACAACGATCCAAAACTATAACAGACCGAGCGATTTGCCTGTTTGGCCCGATAATTCGATTAACAAGCCCAAATATGTGGGCCGTATTTTGTTGAAAACTGGCATTGTCGGCCCGATCCTCCTCCCTACACATTCTTTTCCAAGGTCGTCACGAGAAGAAATTATTGCATACAACCACCACATGTATCTCTGCATGTGGTGTCCAATCCTGACCGTAGATCACGATAATCTATGGTTATGATATATTTCAGTTTTTTTTTTAAATTTAAGTGGGGCCCACCGAAATACATCCTGACTATGGTCAGAATCCGACACCGCATGCGGAGATGCATGCGGTGTCCGTCCGCATGCAATAATTTTTCCGTCACCAGCAACATGTCACGAGCAACATGGTGAGCTGCCATGGCGACAATGACGATGATGCAGTTGATGGTAGGGATGATATTGGGGGCCGAATATTAAGTTCTTGTTTTTTTTTTTTTAAATATATTACCTTTGCTTCAATTTTTTTTTTGAATTTAATGAAAATATTTATATTTCAATTTGATATAATTTAAGTAAAGTTAATTTAAGTTTATCTTTTTTATTTCAATTTGATATAAAAGATTTAAGTAAAGTTAATTTAATACTAAGTGTTTAAATTTATATAAATGCAAATAAAATTTTTATTTCATTGTAACAATATATTCATAAACTTTTTTATGAAATTTAATTATCAAGGTGTAAATCCCGTAGAAATTTCATATAACTTGTTGCTCATGTTGTAGGAAAATTAAGTATAAATACTTGTAACCCATGAAACTTGTTGGAAAGTAATAGGAAAGATTTTTAAATATTTAAAAGGCACAATAAACTATTCCATTCATTGTAGTTTTTCTATAATAATAGAAGGATAAAGTGATGCTAGTTGGATTGATGATAATGATGATACAAGTGACTATTGATTTTACCTTCACATTTTGTGGTGATGCAATATCATGGAAATCTACTATATAAACATTAATTTTTATATCTACTATGAAAACAAAATATATATCCCTTGATCCAAGTACTTCTAAAGCCAAGTTGTTTAAATGTTTATTAAGAATTTTACCTTATATTGATATATATGTACTTGCTAATTTAATAAATTGTGATAGTAAAATAGTTATAATATAAGTAAAAAGTGCAACATGTAATAAAAAAAATGTCACATGAGATTTAGACATGAATCTTACATGACTTATATAAAAGAGGTGTCATATACTATTTTATTTCCTATGAGAAAAACATTATAGATCCATTGCTAAAAGAGCTTCAAAGACTTCTATATTGAGGTGTTCAAAAGAGATGCGGTTAAAAGGGTCATCACAGTGGAAACCCAATCCTGACTGGAAATACCATAACATAAAGTTCAATGTGAAAAAGGTAAAGCTGATTGAATGATTGATATAAGCATACTTCTTTATTGTTTAAAAGTCATCCCTATATATACATATAATTGTGTTAAATTTCAATGAAAAGGAGGTTGAGCTTTTTATCTTTTTCATAATAATCAATAAGAGTCTGCAACGTGATTGTTTCTCCCACATATCTAGTATTGAATCTCATTATGTTCTTTTTTTTTTTTAATTTAGAACTAAAAAAGTAAATTTACAATATGAAACTAAAAAATAAATTAAACACAATTAAGCAAATAAAACTAAAATAATGAGATTGAGATAATTTGGGAGGGAGACATATAAATAACAATATCCTTAGAGTACATCAAGTTTTGGATGCATCAATTTGCTCGCGCACCTTGATTAGAAGCAAAATTTCGAAGTCATTGCATTGCTCTAGCTAGTTGCCCAAAATGAAGAATAAAAGTTGATAGGAAAAAGTAAGAGGATTTCAAAAATTTTCCATCCCTTTCCAAGCTCATATTCTCATCTATTTATAATTGAAAGAGGAGAGCAAAATCTTAAATATTGTTTATGATTTATGATCTATTTTGAGTCGCTTTAGCCGTAAAGCTGTAGTAGAGAAATTAACTTCTTAAAAAATTGTTGTGAGCTACCGTACTTTAACAGATCTCCACCATAAAAATTTCTAGAAAACAACAACAAATCAGTCTAAAATAGAATTGTGGCATCGGTATAAGTTGACAAAAAGCTGTCCCAAAACACACTCTTAAACACTGGAAAAACTTCGGCCCCTAAATTTTAAAAATATATCAATTGAACTATGAGATTTTAATTGATACTTTAATCCACACAATAATATCCATTATTTAAAAGAAGTAATAAGAAAAAAGTTATAACAATCTTGTAAAAAATCAAACTTAATTTGCCTGCATTTGATCAAAATAAATCTATATACTATTTGAAAATATATTATATTCAACTTTCAGCAAAGTTGCTAAGCACAACACGTGTACGTCACTTCAGGCCAAGAAAATAAATGTTAATAAAGGCAATTAATAATAATAACATCTTTCATTGGAAATAAAATATACATGTTTAAATATCTTTTTACATGGATTTCTAGTATTTTTATATGCCAAATAAATGTTGTGTCTTTGAATTAATTTTAAGATAAGTGAAATATATGAGGCTATGCATCTATATAAAAGAGATTTATATTGTATTAATCTTAAATTATTCTAATGACCAAACATAATTGTTGTGAAATTTAGCGAAATAAAACAGGAATCAACACAAACTAGAAGAAGAACATAGAGATTTAATGAGGTTCGACAAAGAATTGCCTATGTCCTCGGGAGCGAGCAGCGGTTTCACTATTTCAGAGGAGTTTCAATACATCTCATAGGGTTACACATATATATAGACATATACTAACTCTCAGATAAAATTACAATCACACCCTCGCTCCCCCCAACCCCCTTTATTCCAGGAGACACACCTCTTCACAAGAAAGTCCAATTCCTTAGATATGAGCTATACCTAACAACAATATGAAAAAAAAAAATTACTAAGACTACAAATTTTCTCCAATGAAAAATAATTATAGCTATTCGAAGAAATCATCACATTTTTGTTATAAGCATGAATCGTGCATATAATAAACGTCAATGATATTAAAAAGAAAAGTTAAAGTAGACATTCTATGTGAAATACTGATATGTCATCAAGAAAACTTGATCGTCAAGTAAGAGTCTCAATGCATTTTGAACAAGAAACATTGTCAAATCCAACCAGCATACTATCATCTAATTTTGATGTTGTTAAAGGGATCTGAAAATAACTACATGAGATTAAGAAAATGCGGATTGTCTGATGTAGTGTTTTGATAAGTTCATTAAATTTACCAGCGCACCTCCCAAAAACAATCAATAATCTTCCATTCTTTACTTGAATGAAAATGGAAAGTGAAAAGAGCAAGTTGAGTACTTGAACTTAATTTTTAAAATCCTGACAATTGTTGCCGGTCACTAGAGCTCGTCGTTGACCACTAGAGTTTACCCTCAACCACGAGCAACAATTGTCACAACAAACTATGGTTGTTCTATATATATGTATATGAACATGAAGAAAACTATCGAGAACTTAGTTGAACAGCTTTATAGAGCCCTTAAACTAATTAAATAGTTTGACCTTGCCTAAAGTTGTGTTCCACGTTTGTTAGAGA